CTGTTGGTGAGGCAAACTGGGACTGGATCGTGTCAACGATGACAGCGACAGTATGATTGCTAATGTTTGTAGTGGCTCTCTTCCGTCTCGTACAAAACCTTAGTTTATCGTCTTTTCCTTGCTGAGAAGGATGGGATCCTCTGGAGTGGTTGCAGCATCGGCCGCGGGCTCCTGAACAAGGTAGGTAGGGCGCTGCTGTAGGCATGCGGAACCCCAGGAGCCTATTAAAGGCCTTACCGATGGTCTCTGGGCTACAGTCGTTATGGGCACAGAGCACTATCACTCCAGATTGTGTAATCGGGTGGTGTCCATCCACCTATGCCTGGATGTCCCCATGTCGTCGCTGTCCAGATAGGTCCTCCTGTTAGATTCATAGAATGCCCCTGGAGTGAGCAGTGCCCCCCTGGATTCTTTATTCGCAAGGTGCGAGGCGACTAGCATGGCGGCGGAGTATAGGCTGCCAGGCGGCATGTCCACTCCTGCAGGGTAGGCGCTCCTCCAGCGCCCCAGCCCTGCATTGACTTCCTGCTGATTGAGCTCCTCAGCGCTGCCGGCGCTGAGCACCGCGCCGTGCAAAAAAAGCGAGACAACAAGCGAGACGATTGCGCAGTACTCGCCTGATGGAGAAGGATGTGGAGCATAACATGCAAAGGTATCCCTCCCCCACGATTCTTGACACTATGCCCACAAAGCTGTAATGTGTGCGTATGCTGTGCCGCCGTAGTCCCTTTGAAGCGGTGGCTTGGCAGGTATACCACATGCACAGTAGCTCAGTAGTCGTAGCTGGAGTAGGGAGGATGGGGATGAGTCGGATCTGCAATTGGCACGGGTACCCCTGCTGCCCGTACCGTCTCGAAAAAATTGTCTGAAGCTTTCCGCGCCAGGGCGGCACTTGCCTGGGCCATTGCCTCTGCTCTCATGGCGGCGTTCATCATGCGCCTCCATGCTGAGGTTAGCACAAAATGCGCTGTTCCCGCCTGGTACCGTCGTCCTTCGGACTAGGTGTGTCACGCGTCCTGTCATGCACAGTGCGTATCCAGTCCATGACATCTAACATACGATGCAACCATGATGTCCCGTTGCGCTCGTGCTTCGTACGGTACACATGTGCCACAAGACCGTGTAGTGTGTGAGTACTGAATTGCATAATGCATCCAAGTAGTCGGAGCCTGTGAATCCTCGGAGCCATGGTAAGCGTGGCTCTCTGTGCGCGCGCAATTACGTACATGTCGCATCCCGTATGTCCCGCACTGTGCCGACTGCGCAAAACCTGTCGGTACCCGTTGAACTTCACATGCTGAGGGTGCGCGTGCTGTGCTGCTGATAGCTGTGGCCACGTCCCTGTGTTGAAATGCAACCCTGAGAACAGTAGTGTATCTGTGAGAAGGCAACGCGAGTCGATGTTTCATTGACCCTTGAGGGTGTAGTCGCATCTGGTATGTAGCCACCTCGGCGCCGCTGCACAGAGAGCCCGCCATGCAAAAAAGAGCGCATGCAAGCTTGCCTGGTTGACTCCGCGCGGTAGCTTCCGTCGGAGCCCGAGAAAGAGGGATCTCCCCTCTTGCAGCTTGCCCGTTGGCGTATTGCGTATCGGAGGTGCCGTTTCCATCACCCTTCTGAGGTGATCGTCAGTCCTCAGAATGGTCGGTAGCATGTATACCAAGGTCGGGTTGTCGGAACTGCGAGAGCAGGTAGTTGAATAGTTGCGATGCCACAGAGTCGCCATACAGCGCTGGGCTGCGCTGAAAGCTTGGCGCTGCAATACGGCAAGAGGGTGCACATTCCCATTCTGCATTGACCCCGGGCGGGCATCCCTCTCCACCCGTCTGTGCAGCTGCAGCGCGTAGTACCAGGTGACTTCCCACATGTGCACCCCCCAGTTTCATGCCTGCCTGTCTCGACCGTGCCCAAGAGCATGTGTGGATTGGCCGCTGACAGAGCAAACAAAAACGTCATGCGACCTGCGATGCTGGGGCCTGCTGGCCTTGGGGGCTGCTGGGGCCCTTGCAAGGCGCGAGGGTCCATGGTATGCACGCTGGCTATGGCCGCCCAGCATAAGATGGCGAGGCTCTTACGTTTCCTGTCGGGGGCCTTGTTGGGCCCAGGAGCGATCCGTCGGAGGTCCGCGCGGGGCTCTTTGGCGATGCGCATGGCATGGTCGGCCGTCGGAAGTAGTGAGCTGCAAGCCTCGGGTGAGACGCAACTCGGCCGAAGCCTCCGCATGACCCTCCAATGGGGTTATTGCCCCACCGGCGCGCGCAACTGTGGCTCGAAAGAGGTGGGAAGCACTGATATGGCAAACAACCTGACAATTGCGTCAACAGATTCGCTCCATGCTTTCGCAACATGACCATGAACATGCTGGAAGGTAAGCGCATTAGCACGTGCACGTATACATTGTGTAAGACTGTCGAGTAGAAGCTTGGTAGTACTGAGCGCTCCTCTAACATGTCCCCCCTGGTATGCTCTGCGAACGGCCGTGTTATCCCTGCGCACGCATAGAGGTAGAGGGCTGAACTGTGACTGCATGACCCATGCCATGGTCCAAATAGCGGCTTCCAACTCTGTCCTCTGTGGAGTGAGTGAATCGTTTGCTTCCCATTCGGGGAGCTGACCTGCCAAGCAGCCGAGCAAAATGACACCTAATACTGAGACAGCCATGATGCGCAGCGCCCAAGCTGGCCCGTACACTTCTCCGTTGCGTCGGCACCCTCCTGCGGTCGCACCAGTGCAGATTCCCCGTCGGGCAGACCTCAAGTTGGGATCGTACTTGATGAGTCCTGAAAGGGCCTGGGTAGAAGAGGGGTGCCAGTAAGGAGCCCACGAAAGAGGGCCCCTAGCCGTATCAACAGGCAAGCTGCGCTCCATGAGCTCTTGAATAGGACGGAGATCGGGGATTGGCGACCTCTGGATACCTCTGGTGTTCCCCTTAGGAGCCTGCGTCGTTAACTTCATGTGGGATTCAGGTAACCCATGTTCATGTGGTGAGCGGTCCGCTGTTGTGTTAGCTGGAGTCGGATTTTGCACACTGGCTGGCTGCTGAAACGAGGGCTAAAAGGGGGGCATGAGCGAGCCTGCCAGAATATTCTGCTGAGCGCCAAACGCGCTCAGCTGATGTTAATGCTGTGTGGGCAGATTGGCTGCCACGCGAAAAACTGCCTGCTGGCCTGCTGGGCTGCTGGGCCCGCTCAACGCTTGGAATCCCCGGCCATCTCTTCATTGATCTTGACCTGCATGGGCGGCGCCTGGCTCGTGGAGCGCCTGGGCGAGGTAGATCTGGGCCTTTCTGCATCGGCTCCTTGGGCGAACGCACTTTCCAGCCGTCGACGTCCTTCTGCGCGCGCGTCGGGAGTAGTCGACTTGGACTTGTCCTTATCCTTTCTTGGCGTGGGTGTAGGAGATGCCAATGATGCCTGTGCCTGTAGTGCCTGAAGTTGTCGCTGAAGTTCTCCTCTGGTATTATTTCTGTTGACGCTGACGTCTGTGAGCTGCTTCTGTATGGCGCTCGTGGCCGTCTTGAACTCTATGAGTTGCGCCATGAGGGCCTGCTGCGAACGCTGCATACTCGCTAGCAACCCTGGGGTGGAGAATTCCGCTTTCGACTCCGCTGAGCCCGAGCACGGTGTAGCTCCAGGCGGAGTTCGCGTGGTAGGCGTACATGGTGATCGTGTGCCCGCTGGCGTGCTCGGCGAGCGCGTGGTAGCTGGCCACTGCGTACGCGACCGAGAGGCTTCTCCTGCTGGCGCGAGAGGGCCTCCGTCGGAATCCTCCTCTTCATCTTCATCCACGTAGTCTGCTGCGCGTGGCTTACGAGTGTGCGACATATGTGTGCGCACCTCTGCCTGCTTGCGCTCGTTGTCCTGTTTCTCCTCGTCTTCCAGGTCCTGGAAATGTTCGAGAAGGTCTTCAGCGTGTGCCACTTCTTCGTGTAATGCATGTACTTGTGCGGCACAGGAGTCAAGATAAATCTGCGCCTCTACCTGCTTCTGTGTGGCGTCCGTCAGCCTGCGTTTTGCTCGATGGACAAAGTTGAGCTGCTTGGCCGTGCGGGCAGATGCCGTGCGAGAGTACATGAGCTGATACAACACTACGGCGTACTCATGTCGTAAGCCTTGCACCTGTGATGCATCCATCTTGAGCTCCTGTGAACATTTGATCTGACGTTCTAGGCCCTCCATTGTAGAGCCCAGGGCCTTTCTGTACTCACCAATCTCCTGAGGGTTCTCAGGTGGTTCCTGCGAGCCCCTGTGTGCGCGGGCCTCCTCTGGCGAGCAAGGCATGATATTCATGGTCTCGTCCTCCTCCATGCTGTTGCTGTACGCTGGGCCTCGCGAACTGGAGCGCCTCCACGGGGGGGAGGATGTAGGTTGGTCACCAGCTGGCTTGGCTGCTGGCTGAATCGGATGGCACTTCCAACACTTTGTGATCTCCCACTTGTTGTGATGGTTGCATGCCGGGCACTCCCACAAGTACCTGCGTTGTCCTTGTAGATGCCCTTGCCATTGTGATCTTCGTCTTGATGGCTGTCTGGAGCGCGCTGATGAATGGCTGCGCTGTGTCCTCCACGTCATACCGCTATGCTGTTGCTCGTGTAGATCTGATGCTGTGGCGATTCAGCCCTGGCTCGACGGTGCCAGTCTGGTTCACCTCCTGCTTCACGGCTGGCCCTCCTGCGGCGCGCCGTGGCTGCTGGGCGCGCTGGGGGGGGGCGGGCGCGTGTCGCAGCAGTCCCGCGCGAATGGCTTCGCCGTGCCTGGCACGGCTCCCATAAACCACTCGGGCCGGGACGGCGGCTGGGAAGAGGAGGGGAGAGGAGGGGGGGGGGGGAGGGGGCAGGGGGGAGGGGGGGGAGGAGGGGGAGGAGGAGGAGGAGGAGGAGGAGGAGGAGGAGGAGGAGGACGCGGGGACTGTCCCTTCAAAACGAGGGCCCACGACCAAAAACAGGCATCCAAACACCTCGATCCTCGATTCCTCACCAGGAGGGCTGGCCCAATCTCGGCCTCCAGGATCCACGGCGCGTGATCCTTGGCGGTCTTGAAGGCCGCGTTCCCGCGGCCTCCTGCGCCACCTGGCGACGCCGGACATCCCGATGCGAGCGCGCGTCGACGTCACGGTCGACGCCAGAGGGAGAGGAGGTCACCAGAGTGCAGGAGGAGGAGGAGGAGAAGGAGAAGCAAGAGCAGAAGAAGGGGCGAGGAGGAGGCGAGGGAGGGAGGGAAGCGGGGGAGGAGGAGGAGGAAGGAGGGAGGTCACTGGGATGAAGGAGAGGAGGAGGAGCGAGAGGAAACAGAAGGACAAAAAGGAAAGGAAGGAGAAGAGAGGAGGGAGGAAGGGAGGAGGGAGAGAGGGTGAGAGCAAGCTAGGAAAGCTCACGCCATATCCTACATCATACCCCTCCCAGTGGAGGAGGATTCGATGAAGTGACGATGGAGGGGACGACAGAAGGGGATGAGGGGGGAGGATGATCAAGAACCAAGACAACGGTCTGCTTCAAGCAATTCCCAACAGGGAGCTGCTGCTGATGGACTCGATGTATGCAAAATATCTCTCTACAATGTACTACGCGTGGCATTCGTATACGTGTGGTATGTGCATGTTGCTTGTATATGATGTGTGTATACTGGTCATGTCTGCTATGAAAATATGCACGAATGTTCACTGTGCATGGCACGGGTGCGCATGATCGTGATCATGAGTTGTGTGTGCACGTTACGTGTGAATGCTGCGCGTGTGACGCATTATTAATCACTCATGCATCGGCTGGCGTGTGGTCCTGGCACATAGCATGTCTGGCTAGTCGTGAACACGAGAAGGTCAGTGTGTGTTACAGTGATCTCGGTCGATGTCTGCGCCGGTCTGCCGTGGCGTATGCCACTTCGAATGGCTCGTTGCTGTGCACATCATGTTCTTACCAGCGTGGCCTCGTGAGGCCAGTCGTGTACTGCACTGTCTCACCATACCGAATGTAGCACTGTGTGTTGTATGTGCTGATGTTGGTTTTTAGTATTACTCCAGGCACTTCGTTCCCACCACAGCAACAAAGCATGGTAGGAGGGAAGATCCGCTGCCCCTCAAGAGGGCTATGCCGCACCACGGACAAGAATGACGACGCACCACGCTACTGCAGGGATGTCGCCGAGACCGTGTAGCAGGCCTGCTCAACAGGCTGTCCTGGGAGCGCGGCCGAAACAGCGTGGCCGAGTATTACTGCAAGTACGTTTGAGTTGCATATCGGGGATGGACAGAATCCCATCTAGTAAAACGTGGTTCAGTGAAAACGACTTCGGGCCCAAACCTGGCGGGCGCAAGCCTCGAAAACGACGACCGCGGCGCCCTCTCGAGAACCGAAGACGGACAATTCACGAATCGATCGTGTCAGGGTGGGGGTTCTGTCCACTCCCGAGTATGACTACCTACCAGACCACCCCAAACCAACACCCGAAGACCCGAATTTCGGATTGGGGGGGTATGGGCTCCACATGTGTTTTTCGAAGTTCCCCGACCCCCCCCCACCACTGGAAATGGAAGGCAAATTGAGGTCTTCGGGTTGGGTTGGGGTGGTTTGGTGGGTGGTGAGAGTAGGTGTGCTGGTGGTGCTCGCTTGATTCTGCTGCCGATTCTGCTCGGGGCTCAGCGATGCGGGACGCTGCGGACCATCGAGACTGCTGAGGCCTGGCGGCCGTGGTATACACACGGGGCCGGCGGACTGGCAATCGGGAGCACTGGGGCCTGGTGGCCTGGCGGGCGCGGTACGCAACAGGAGGAGGAGGAGAAGGAGGAGGAGGAGGAGGGGGAGGAGGAGGAGGAGGAGGGGGAGGAGGAGGAGGCGGTGAAAGAGGAGGAGGAGGAGGAGGACGAGGAGGAGGAGGAGTAAGACGCGTGGGAAGCCACATGAGGCGTCCGCGCGCTTTGCTAGGGCCCGGCGCCGGACACCCCCCTCCCCCGGCCTGGGAAGCGCAGCCGATGCGAGGCCACGGGCGTCTGGAAGGGAGTGGTCCAGCTGGTGGGCCTGTTTTCCACCGCCACCACCACAAGTAGGAGGGGGAGGGGGTCCTCCTCCTCCTCCCTCCTCCTCCTCCTCCTCCTCCTCCTCCTCCTCCTCCTCCACCACCTCCTTCCCCCTCCAATGTATGGTGGTGGTGGTGGAAAACAGGCCCATCAGTCTGGCAGGGAGTGGTCCAGCGCCGACCCAGCAGCACTGCGCGAACATCCGCAGGCTGGGGCCCGTGCAACTCATATATGTCGTTCTCTGGGAGAGGCGGAGCAAAAGCAGCAGCGGCAGCTCGCATGGAGCCACCAGGGTCTTGAACGCCGCCAGTCGCGCTCGGGGCAGGCGAAAGGCGAACCGATGGGGGGGCAGCAGAGGGGGGGGAACTTTCACGACGCCTCCTGGATCCCAACCCTCCAGTGTTGTTGGGCCCTCACTGTAAAACCATAGCGACACGCTTCACCTTCCTTCCGCCTCCCCCTCCTCCTCCTGCGCCTTCTTCGTCCTCCTCATCCTCCTCCTCCTCTTCCTCCTCCTCCTCCTCCTCCTCCTCCTCCTTGCTCCTTCCTCTCCTTCCTCCTCCCCCTCCACTTTCCTTGCTCCTCCCCCTCCACGTTCCTTCCTCCTCCTCCTCCTCCTCCTCCTCCTCACACTTCCTCGCTGTGCTCCAAACGGATCTGTATGTTGGGCCATTGTTCGGCACACCTCTCACGTGGACCGCGCCCAAGTGGGCAAGTTCGCGTGGGGGGCGGCGCCCATTGCGGCACATCCCTCACACGCTTCAGTGCCCCAAAGGGAGATCCACATACGGTCCCAGAGGGCGCGTTCGCATGCTAGCGCCCATTCAGGCGCACCTCTTACGCGGATCATGGCCCCATGGGAGCCTCATCCTCGTCATCATCCTCATGTTCCTCTCCGTCACCATCACCACCATCAACAAAAATGGCAACAATATCGTAAGCATCACCATCACCATCGCCACCATCACCACGGAATCATCATCATCATCATCAGCATCATCATCAGCAGCAGCATCATCATTAGCATCAGTATCATTATCATCATCAGCATCATCATCAGCAGCATCACCATCATCAGCAGCAGCAGCAAGTTCATCATCAACAGCATCAGCATCTTTATCATCATCATCACCATCACCATACTGTTCATCAGCATCACCGTCGTCACCGTCATCATCATGATCAATATCATCAGCATCATCAGTATAATCAGCATTATCAGCAGCAGCAGCATCAGCGTCATCAGCATCATCATCATCATCATCATCATCATCATCATCATCATCATCATCATCATCATCATCATCATAGTCACCAGCATCGACATCACCACCACCACCATCAACATAATCGTCATCATGGTCAGCATTATCAGCATTATCTTCATCACGGAAATAATACGATTAACCATAATAAGAATAATCATACTAATAAACATCATCAGCAGCAGCAGCAAATTCATCATCAACATGATCGTCAGCATGCCCAGCAGCATCATCATCATCATCATCATCATCAGCAGCATCAGCATCATCGTCATCATCATCATCATCATCAGCATCATCATCATCATCATCATCATCATCAGCATCATCATCATCATATGCATCAGCATCAGCATCATCAGCAGCAGCAGCTCTGTCAGAATCGCAACCATGATCGCAATCATCATCCCCAGCGGCGGTACAACCATGAACAGCAGCAGTCACATCATCATCATCATCATCATCATCATCATCATCACCATCATCATCATCATCATCATCATCATCATCACCATCACCATAATCATCACCATCACCATCATCAGCATCATCATCATCAGCATCATCATAATCATTCAAAAAAATCCACTTCAACGACATCATCATGATTCACACCTCACCACAATCCTCGGTATCAGCCTCGTATTCCTCCTCAGCATCACCATCAACAACGTCATCATCATCATCATCATCATCATCATCAGCATCAACATCATCAGCATCGTAATAGTTGTCACCAGCAGCATCGTCATCATCATCATCGTCACCATCAGCATCTTCATCACCACCCTCATCATCATAATCATCATCATCATGATCAACATCATCAGCATCATCATCATGTTCATCATCATCATAATCCTTCTCATCATCGCCATCGTCATCCTCGTCATCAGCAGAAGCAGCATCATCAGCAGAGGCAACGGCAGCGGCAGTAACAGCGGCATCGTCATCATCCTCATCAGCATCATCATCAGCAGCATCATGATGATCAGCATCATCAGCAGCAGGATCATCATCACCAACACCATCACCATCACTATCGCCATCAGCATCATTGTCACCAGCATCCTCATCATCATCAGCAGCAGCAGCTGCAGCAGCAGCAGCCGCAGCAGCAGCAGCAACACCACCGCTGTCCTCATCAGATCCTCATCAGATCCTCATCGTCATCACGACCGTCATCGTCCGCCACCGAAGCCGCTTGCCTCGGGCCACCAATAACGTCTGGCCCTCCTTGAAGAGCTCGCCCACCAGGTGGCGGTCGTCGATAGCCTCAAGGGGCGAGGAAGCAAGCGCCACGCATCGACGCCGACGACGACGACGCCGACGACGTCGTCTCGGGGGTTACCTGAGCGTTTCCAGGGGGGCTCTCGTGGCCGCGGCTGAACGCGGAGTGAAAAACTGGCCAGGTTGGGATTGGCCTCCCAGGGTGTGGTTTAACGGGGGGGCAATGAACGTGGGGTGAAGACACGTGCACCTGTCGTGTGCAATCCTCGACCCCTCGACAATTGTTGCCCCCCGCTGCCGCCCGGCAGAGGACGACCCAGGACGCAAGACCAGTCCGCGGGAAGGAGTCTCGAAAAGTACGTTCTCGAACGGTTGCTTGGTTCTTCGGGCCTGGGCACCTTCTTGGTGTCAGAAGCTTACCTCAGGCGGTGCCTCTTGGAGGTGCTCCGAACATGCAGGCGCGTCGGCACTCTGACCTGCTTCACGAACCTGGCATCGAGCAAATTCTTTGAACTTAGGATGCCGAGGCCCTTGACGGAGCAAACGACATGGTGCAGGGGGCAGCCTTCCTAGAAGACCGCGCCACCTGCGGCCGCGTTTCCCTTTCCACATCCTCCTCCTCCTCCTCCTCCTCCTCCGCCTCCTCCTCCTCCTCCTGCTCCTCATGCTCCTCCTCCTCGTCCTCCTCATCGCTCTCGACCGCCTCACCTTCGAACTCATATTCGATGTTTCCCTCCTCCTGGTCTTCCTCACTTTCCGTTACTTTCTCGAACAAGCTCTTCGAGCACGATGACATCATGGCGCCGGCGGTGTCCGCTCGCGGGGCACAGGGGTGGCCCTCAAGGCTGGAGACGTCTCACTTGGCATCCACTTCCCCTCCTGAACCGCCCCCTTACTGGAAGGCACTTCTGGAGCACTGCTCGAAGTTGCCGCAGACTGCGCGATGATCGTCGGTCGTCGTCATCGTCACCTACGCCATCACCATCACCACCATTATCGTCATCGTCAGTGCCATAATGCCCTCACCATCGACGCAATCACCAAACGTCACTATCGCCACTATCGACACTATCGCCATCATCACTGCCCACGTCACCCCGCCACCATCGCCGTGGTCATTGACGTCATCGCCCAGAGGGTCGGGAACAGCACCGCCATCTGGGAGGAAGGATCCGGCAAGCTCGCGCCATGACGGCGTTGGCTGTGTTTTCTATCACCGCGTGAACCGCTCAACCTCGACCGATCTCCGCTGCCAGGGTTCCAGAGAGGCTATCGGGGGCATTCTAACGAGGAGCATGGCGACCCCAATTCCCGACATTTGGGGCCGAACTCGGGGATACGATAACGGGGGGGCCCAAGGACAAGGATAGCCCGGGGGGGGGAATCCCCGAATTCCCATCCTTTGCGGCCAGCGTTTGGAAGGGAAACGCCTGCAGATGTGCCTCACAGCCTTTTTGATGGGATTGGGCAGAAACCAAGCAGGATCAGCCAGCATCGCATCGGAAAATCGGATCGAACCGAAATGCGCGTCGAAGCGGGAGGCATCGGAACGGAGTCGGAATCGAATCGGATCGGCCGCGCCAGGATGCACAACGGCCCCATGCAAACATCTGGCTGCATCGGGTCGTCGGAATATCGGAATCGATATCGAGCGGGAATAGCCTGCGAATCTCCGCTCCCGTGCTCCCCGGAGAGACAGTCGGGTGCTTTTCGACATCGACCCGGATCGAATCGACATGGGCCCTGCTGGGGCTGGGGGAGAGAAACCGCCTGCGAGTCTCCGCTCTCGTGCCACCCGGAGAGACAGCAGGGTGCCTGCGCCGCCGCCGCCGAAGGCCGCCCGAGGGGCCGCCGAGGGCCCGCCCGAGGGCCCGCTGCCAGAGGCCTCCCGGGATGGGGCCTGCGAGGGGCGCCGCCGCAAGGGGCCGCCGCGAAGGGCCGCCGAGGGGGGCCGCCGAGGGGCGCCGCCGCGAGGGGCCCCCCGCCGAGGAGCCCCCCGCCTCGGACGACTGCGCCGCCGCCGCCGCCGCCGCCGAGACGGCACGAAGCTCGCAAGACGAGGCCAGGACGAGGCGAACTCCAGGCGTGGATGCCTCGAGAATCTCTGAGATCTGGCGGACCTGGAGGATGTCTCGGGCGCCGCAGCTTCTCAGGGCGCTCCGGAGCACTCCGGGAGCGTTCCGGAGCGCTCTGGAACGGATTTTTATCCTCGTCGTCGCCCCGTCCGACCTCTCGTGGGATTCGGAGGGAGGCCTCCAGGCGTCCCCCGGGGCCTCCGCAGGGGCTCCAACCTTCGTGCTCTCGCGATGCGCGAAGCGCGAAGCGCGAATAGCTTCGCGCTCTCGCGCCGCCCCCAAAGGGGGAAGAGGAGGAGGAGGAGGAGGAGGAGGAGGAGGAGGAGCTGAACCGCGAAGCGCGAAGCGCGAATATTCTTCGCGACCTCGAAGGCGCCCTTGCCTGCGGAGGCCGAGGGAGGGCCAAAAGAGCCAGGAAACCTCGATCCTACACCCTTGACTGAAGGAGAAATCTGACACTCGAGGACATGCCTGAGGGGCGAATTATCTACACAAACCTTCGGGCGAATCTCATCCACACAAACATTCGCTAGCGCCCCAAAGTCTTTCGAGGCGTAGAGTCTCCGAGATGACCTCCCAGGCCCGCCGTGGTCTGAATACCCCCGCGGGCCTCGTGGGTGACCAGCCTCGCCTTGTTCTCTTCCGGGCCGAAGCGGCCATTCGTGGTCCCCTTGGCAGCACGCGCAGAACCGACGGATCGATCGGCCGTAACACCAACGTATGCTCTCACCGAACCTCCTTCGTCTTTCTCTTCCTCCGCCACTACCCCTGATCCATCTCTCTCCCACTTCCCTGCTCCACCTCCCTCCCTCGCGCCTGCCCGCCGCCCCTCGCTCCTCCACATCCATCCTGTCCATCTTGGTCACGCCTGTCCCCCATCGCCCTCTTCTGTCCAGTGTATCCTCCGAACTCCCCCCCGTGCTCCTGCTGCTTTTAAGGTGTTACTGCGGGCACATCCGCATGCGCACAGATATCGGTGAGCGTGTGTGCGTGCGTGTGCTATTATGATGTTGGCTGCGTTACATGCTGTGTGTTGTGTTGTGTCGTTTGTCCGCGCGTGAGCTGTATATGTGTGTGCTGTTCGTATTGTGCGTATGTGTCGTGTGCTGTGTGCGTTGTGCTGTGCGATGTGCGGTGAGCTGTTTGTTCATGTGTTCGCCTGTGTATGTGTGTGAGCGTGAACGCGCGTGTGTAACCCCCCTTCGCCGCTTGCGGCCTTTTCCGTGCGCGCGTGCGCCTTGCCTTGCCCTCAGTTCGCTCAGGTCGCCTAATCCATCTGCCAGGCATATCAGGTCGCGGCGGCGTATCTTTGGCCTGCCACCCTGGTCGCTCACCATCTCCGCCCGCACCCCTGGCTTTGCGTCGCACTCGTTTGATTCCGACGCCCCATTTTCCAGAATGCGCCTGATCTTGGCTGCCCAGCGGTCGGCCATGCCCGTCTCCTCATGACATGTCGGCTCCGCTCACGCACCCACGCGAGGTGGCCAATCAACTGTGGCGTATCCCGTCTGTGTCGAACTCACAACGTCGATTGCACCCCTATCGGAGTGCCGCAGAACACAATGTGAGCGTGCGTGCGCATCGTGCTGGACAGACGGCCTGATTCCCCCGTCGGTGCAATCTGTAGTTAGCCGCCCCCGCTCGCCCGGCGACTCCCTCCGGGTGAACCCCTGCGTCGCCCCGCCCGGTGGCTGCGTGAGAGCCCAGCGCGATCCTCCGTCTCCGCCCGCCCGACTCCGCCGCGACGCTGCGCGTGCGGCCGCGACGCCGAAACAGCAGTGTCTGTGTGGGTGTGTTCTTTGTGTGTGTGCGTGCGCGTGCGTGCGTGTGCGCGTGTGCTTTCCAACCATCTACGCCCTGTCGCCGCGCGCCGGGCCGCGACAACCCCAAAACGTGTGCGTGTACGGGTGTGTGTGTGTGTGTGCGTGTGCTCGTGGACCACTTATCGTTTGCACCTCACAGTACGCGACCTCTCGTACACTGTGCCTCCAACAGCGCTCGAGTCCCAAGCAGCCTGCCCATCTGCTGCTCGCGCTCGAGGACCCTCTGCGACGCCGGCTTAAAGTGTGAGCGCGTGTGCGCTGGCAGGGCTGGCCCCCCTTGCTTGCTCTGTGCTAGGAGAACGAAACAAACATGGCATAAACATAAAACTCGGAGGTCCGCGCGGACTTCTCGGATCCGCGCTGACCCCCCTCCCTGGCGCGCGGAGCGCGCCAGGGGCGGCGCCGGAGGCGCCGCCAGGGGGCCCCAGCGCCGATCCGACAAATCCGCGCGGACCTCCGAGTTTTTCTGCTTATGCCATTCTTCGTTGCGCCTCCTCCTCCTCCTCCTCCTCCTCCTCCTCCTCCTCCTCGGCGTGAGCGCTGGCAGGGCTGGCCCCCCCCCTGCTTGCTCTGTGCTGTTCTCTCCTGCTTCGCCCTCGCGCGCTCCTCCGCTCGGCCGCCTCCTCCCTGGGCCTCCGCCCGGCCTGCGCCCCCTGCGGGCCAGCCCTGTCGGACTATAGCCCAATAGCCCTATGGCCCTGTAGTCCTACAGCCCTATAGCCTTATAGCCCTATAGCACTATAGCCCCATAGCTCTATAGCCCTATAGCCCTATAGCCCAATAGCCCTTTCGCCCTGTAGCCCTATGATAGCCCTAAAAAGATTATGATTGGGGCTGTTCTCCGGTATCATGACTTCTTGGGGACGATGTTGCATCTTTTTCGCAAACGTCGGCTCTCGAGGTCGCAGGCTTGCCAGGCTGGCTGGGCAGGCACCCCACACACTCGCCCGACCTCCTTTCCTTGCCCGCTCGACTCTCTCGCATGTTCCGACGGCTTGCGCACCAGCCGCCGGTGGCTGCACACTCTTTGGACGCTGCGCTGCAAGCTGCAGCTCACTCACGAGACGGGACCTCCATCGTCAAGGCCGGTCTCTCAGCGGTAAAAAAAAACATCGCGAAAACAAACTATCGGAGCCCCAGACCCCAGCTCCATGCGCCACGTTTCGTGCCGGATCGACCTGTGACGGTCCTGGGGGACTCGAACCAGGCAAAAACGCCCGGTGCGAGCAAAATGCAACAACCAGGTCTCAGGGATGTTGCTCGTTCATCACTCCTCCTCCTCCTCCTCCTCCTCCACCTCCTCCTCCTCCTCCTCCTCCTCCTCCTCCTCCTCCTCCTCCTCATCCTCATCCTCATCCTCATCCTCATCCTCATCATCATCATCATCATCATCATCATCATCATCATCATCATCATCATCATCATCATCATCATCATCATCATCATCAATCATCATCAACAGCAGCATCAGCATCAGCATCAGCATCAGCATCAGCAGCAGCAGCATCAGCATCAGCATCATCATCAGCATCATCATCGTCATCATCATCACCATCAGCAGCAGCAGCATCAGCATCAGCATCAGCATCACAGCATCAGCATCAGCATCATCATCAGCATCATCATCATCGTCATCATCATCAGTAGCATCATCAGCAGCAGAAGCAGCATCATACCCACAGTGATTACAGTAATAGTCAGCGTATAATCACCCACATCATCACCGTCATCAACATCGTCGTCAGCATTGTCATCGCCTTCAGCATCAGCATCAGCATCAGCATCACAAGCATCATCAGCAGCGCAATCACCATCATCATCGATGTCCTCCTCATCGTCGTCATCCCCCTCATCAGTATCATGATCATCATCCTCATCATCATCATCAGCAGCATCAGCATCATCATCATCATCATCATCATCATCATCAGCATCAGCATCAGCATCATCATCATCATCATCATCATCATCATCATCGTCATCATGAACAGCAGCATCATCATCGTCATCATCATCACCACCATCGTCGTCAGCATCATCATCATCATCGACATCATCATCGTCATCATCATCAGGAGCAGCATTTTCATCATCAGCATCATCATCAACATCATAATCGTCATCATCATCATCATCGTCGTCAACATCATCATCGTCATCATCATCAGCAGCATCATCATCATCAACATCATCATCATCACCACCACCACCATCATCATCATCAGCAGCAGCAGCATCATCCTCATCATCGTCATCTTCATCCTCATCCTTATCCTCATCCTCCTTCTCATCCTCCTCCTCATCATCATCATCCTCAGGGGGCTCCCGCGGCGCGTGGCCCTCCTATTTTTTGCAGTTTTTGCTCCTCGAGGGGCTCACGCCGTAAGGACCCCTGCCCTGATCGAAGAATCATTCGCACATACCTCTTTAGTGAGGAATCCTTAGTGAGGGGGAGGAGAACGCAATGATGAGCTTCGCAGGGGGGGGGACTCGACCCTGAAACCACTCCCCCCCAGGGTCACGACACGATTCGTGCCGGCGCCGCGTGGGAAGTGGCCGTGCCGAAGCATTGCCAGACGGCGACTGCGAGAATCGTGACGTGACCGGCTCCGGTGCGCAGAACGCGCGGTTATCTTCGCCCCCCTTAGGGAAGCCCGAATCGGGTGTTGCAAGAGGTACCCCTGGCCAAAGGTGCCCCCAGGGTTCTCGGGGTGGCCCAGACGGCCTCCAGAGCACCCCTCACGAGGCCCAGAGGGCCCCAGGGGGCCCAGAGGAGGCCCCCTCTCCCCCTCGCCCCGGTCACGCGCGCTATCACCAGGCGGCTTGTCTCGCGGCTTGTGCGCGGACGAGGGGGGGGCAGGATTAGAAAGTCCAGGGTTCGCTAAGGACTGGGTTCACCCCCGAGAGACCGAAACCTTCCCAAAACTCTTCGAACACCGACCGCGACATCTTCTGGGAAGCGTTTCGCAAGCTCGCTGGAAGGTTTGAGAAAAGTTGTCCGCGTTCTGGGAGTAAACCGATCCCAGCGAACCCTTGGTCTTGTATCGGGCCCCCAAAACCGTGCGGTGACGGACCGCGTGGTGACCTCGGAATCCCAAGCGACCTCACCCCCCAGGACCCCGGAGGCCCCAGTCGCTCGAGACCTCCTCGGGGAAACCGCGCGGTGATCCCGAATCCCCACTGACTCAACACGCGGTGTGGTCACCACCACTCCGTCTGGGGGCCTCCGATTCTAAGGCCAGGAAGCACATCGGAAAAAGAAGAGGGGCCATGAGATCTGGCAGATATCGTGGCCCCCGCCATAGTATGGAGGCCTCCTAGATGGGGTCGGAGTAGCTGGGGTCGGAGGATCGCGCTGCATCACCGGTACATCGGCGATACATCGCCGATGCATCGGCGATGCATCGGCGACATCAGCGACGCATCGGCGATGCCAGCGTGGAGAAAATCGGGCTCCACATCGAGCCGCATCGCCAATGCATCGGCGATGCGGGGCACCTCCGACCCCCTCTGCTCGGACCCCATCTGGGAGGCCCAGACGATACCCCCCCTACCCTCAACCCGTATCAGAAGGACGCACGATAAGGATGCAAGGGCCTTGTAAGGCCATGTCGACACTCTGCGAGCCAGCCATGGCCGGCGAAAGCGGCCAGGAACGGGCCTAAGGGGAAGGATACATGGGGCAACCTTGGACAATCGCTCATCCTTACCTCCTGGCCGCCCCGGACCCTCCCGCGCGCCGTGCCCGTGCCCGGGCCCCCACTCGGGCCCCGACGGCCAGCCACGCGTCCCGCACGTACACCACGGTCCCGGGGGGGACGTCGACGTAGATGGGCCTCGGCCCGGACCGCGCGGCGAGCGGAGAGGACCGAAAAGCAGCACGTCGGGAAGCTGGAAGGACGCACGCCTTGCTCCACACGGGCGACGGAAAGAAGCGGGTCTCGCGCGAGAAGACATCGCCACCTCACGCCGCGGCTTACGCGGGCCGCCAGCGCCGCACGACAGATCGGAAGCGGGGGCGCCCACGCGCGACCTTACGCGGGCAGCTGACGCGCGAATGTCGGCGCAGTCGAGCCCGTTGGACAGGCGCGTTTCACTACTCGCAAATCAACTACTCGCAAATTGCCTGGGTCCGCCGCGGGAGGAGGAGAAGGAGGAGGAGGAGGAGGAGGAGGTAGAGGAGGAGGAGGAGGAGGAGGAGGAGAGCCCCTCCCGAACCCGAGGTGGTCCTGACCTCAAGACCTGAGCTGCAAGTCTCCTGCCGTCGCGCCCCCGCGCCCCCGCGCTCCGCGCGGGGACCAACGAGGACGACGTGTATGTATGTCGGACGTTTGCGAGCAGGCACTCTGCGAGTACTGGAACGCGCTCGGCAACCCGTGTCTCTGCGTCGCTCACACGTAGAGATTGAAGGGCCCCTGGGACACACAGATACGTAGACACAAATCAGCAGGATTCCCCATAGTTTCCAATACTTTCCGGATGTTCGTCTTCCCCCCCACTTTCCATAGTTTCCCATAGTTCCCTGGGAATCGACGATTAATTGTGTCTGTGTTTTTCCCTCCTGAACGTTACATAGAGGAAGACATGTATGTTTCGGACATTTGCGAGCAGGCACTCTGCGAGTACTGGAACGCGCTCGGCGACCCGTGTCTCTACATCGCTCACACGTACAGCTAACTCAGGGCTGGACCTAAACAGTGTTGTTCGTTCTCGTTTTGGTTTCGTTTTCCCTCGTTTTGTCTCCAGTCCGCCTTTGTCGCAAAACGGCATCGAAACGAGAACGGCCAACGAAATCGCCAAAACACCGTCTAGGTCCACCCCTGAGATAGCTCGTGCCACGGGCTGGATGCGCGTGCGGCAACGCTGGAAGACATCTGGCCACGCGTGCATCCAGCTCCCCCCCAGGCCGACCGAGTCGTTGGGAAACTGGAAATCTTCCTCAACGTGCCCTTTTGGAGGTCACTGCGGCTGTCATGGGCAGCGGCCGCGCCGGAGGCACCGCCAGGGGGGGTCCCGCGCCGATCCAAGAGATCCGCGCAGGAATCCTCAGATTCGCGTTCATATGCACTCTCTTCTTCGGGTCTGGCGCATCCAGCCCTCTGGCTCCCGGGGGGGAGCGTAGACCTGGAATCGGCGGCTGGAGTGGGCGATCAGGCCCCTCTCGGCAATGAATGGGCGCTTGGCGGTCCGTGTCGCTCAGCACCGTCATGACCAGCAAAATCGCGGCCATCACCATCGTACAAAGCATCTTTCATCGACATACTCAACGACGACGTCGTCGTCCTCATCTGTTTCCACCTCCTTCTCCTCCTCCTCCTCCTCCTCCTCCTCCTCCTCCTCCTCTACCTCCTCCTCCTCCTCCTCCTCCTCCTCCTCCTCCTCCTCCTCCTCCTCCTCCTCCTCACCATCATCCAGGGACCGACCACAACGAAGTTTAAAACAAAATGAACGACGAAACGGGGCGTTGAAAGCGACAACGAAAAACGAAACGAATCAAAAAAGAAAAACTGAACGAACAAATAAAACAAGGGCCTAAACCAAGCTAAACAGCGTTGTGGTCGGTCCTTGCCATCATCACCATCACCATCACCATCATCAGAATCATCATCATCACCAGCAGCAGCATCATCATCATCATCACCGTCAGCATCATCATCATCCTCATCAGCATCAGCATCATCAGCATTATCATCATAATCAGCATCATCATCATAATCAGCATCATCATAATCAGCAGCCTCATCATCATCGTCATCGTCATAGTCATCACCATCACCATTACCATTCCCATCACATCAACATCATCATCGTCAGCATCATCATCAGCATCATCATCATCATCATCATCAGCATCACCATCATAGTCGTCATCAACAAAGTCCTCGTCGTCATTGCCGTCGCCATCATCGTCGTCATCGTCAGCATCATCATCAGCAGCAGCATCATCATCGTCATCGTCATCGTCAGCGGCGTCATAATCATCAGCAAAAACAGCATCATCATCATCATCATGATCATCATCATCATCATCATCCTCATCCTCATCATCATCATCGTTGTCATCATCATCAGCGTCAGCATTCTCAACATCGTCGTCGTCATCATCAGCATCGTCGTCGTCCTACTCATCTCCCTCATCACGTTCGCTACCATCATCATGATCATCAGTATTATCCTCATCATCATCATCATCATCATCATCATAACCATCACCATCACCTTCGGCACCATCATCACCATAATCGTGATCATCATCATCATCATCATCATCATCATTTTCACGTCAACAGAATCGGCATCAGCAGCATCAAAGAATAACGAGCAGCAGCATCAGGTGCGTCATCACCATCAGCATCATCGTCAACAGCATCATCATGATCAGAATCATCATCGCCATCAGAATCATCGTCAGCAGCATCCTCATTCTCCTCATCATCGTGATCGTCGTCAGCGTCATCATAACCGTCAGCGTCATCATCATCGTCGTGATCAGCATCATCACCAGCATCATCATCATCATCATCATCAGCATCATCATCATCGTTGCCGTCATAAAGACCATCATCTTCGTCATCATCATAGAAACACTCCTCATCATCAACATCACCATTAGCATCACCATCATCATCATCATCACCAGCATCACCAGCATCACCATCATCAATTTCATCATCAGCATCATCGACATCATCATCATAATCAACATCATCAACATCATCATCGGCATCATCAGCATCGTCATCACAATCAGCATCAATATCAACATCATTATGACCGTCATCCTCATACTCACCATCACCACCATCCTCATCGTCATCCTCACCATCATCAACATCATCATAATCATCACCATCCTCATCATCAGCATCATCATCATCCTCATCCTCATCATAATCGTCACCATCACCCTCATCCTCATCCTCATCATCATCATCATCATCAACATCATCATCATCATCTCATCGTCAGCATTATCGTCGTCATCCTAGTCCTCATCCTCACCCTCCTCCTCATCCTCCTCCTCATCCTCATCATCATCCTCATCCTCATAATCATCATCAGCAGCACCATCATCATCATCATCATCGTCATCATCGTCATCGTCATCATCATCATCATCATCATCATCATCATCATCATCATCATCATCATCATCATCATCATCATCATCATCATCATGGGTGGCCAATTGGACTCAGGCCTGTTCTGGCGCGTGGCCCATTCCCCGCGAAGTTCTTGGCCGCGTGCGCCCCCAGACCGCCCTGTGTGCGCTGGCGCCCTCGGGCATCCCGACGCGGCGCCGCTGGGGCGGCGTCCTCGGCTGCGCGCTCGGCTACGTCCACTACATCTTCAACATGGTGGACCCGCTGTGTCGACCTGCGTGTGAGACCTCGGCTGGCCGCCGCAGCCGCGCGGGGACGCGCCACACGGCGGCCCGCAAGGCCCAAGCGGCATCGCGGGCGGTGGCGGCGCTGCTGATGCCCGCGGCGCAGACAGACCTCCCAGAGGCCAGCGGGAGCCGGCCACAGGCGCCTGGTCGCTGACGCCCCGCCCTTCTCTAGGGGGAAAACAAGTCTACCTCGCTTTTGACCACCCTCGCTTCCAAGAGATACCAAACGATGCCAAATTGCAGCCTGTACTGGTCAGGCCGCTTGACGAGGAGGCGCGTGGTATGGCTTGGTTTTGCCTGGAAGCGAAAGCGGGGTAGGTAATTCACGCTCTGATTCTCGTCCAGCGTCCTCGCAGGACGCGCCGCCGGGGTGCGGTGCTCCTGACCTCCTGGGCGTGGCCACGTCGATGGCCACGAGGACGGCAGCGGGGGCGGCCCGAACGGCGGCTTCGGCCGGCGAGCCTCGCCTCGTCGACGGCGGCCTGAGCATGAGAGGCACGCGCGGGCCGCCCACCGTCGTCCAGGGTGCCGCCGGCCTGCGGTCTACACGCGGGCGTGGTCGACCGCAACGACGGGCGTGGTCGACGACGACTCCGTGGCGGCGGCAGTCCAGTTTCCTCGCCGTCGCTGCGCTGCCTCATCCTCATCATCAGCATCCTCATCCTCATCCTCATCCTCATCATCAGCATTCTCGTCATCATCCTAGCCCTCATCCTCACCCTCGACCGCAACGACGGCGTGGTCGACGACGACTCCGTGGCAAGGCGGCAGTCGAGTTCCCTCGCCGTCGCTGCGCTGCCCGTGGGCAGCCGCCCGCCGCGGCTGCTGCCAACGGCGTCGCCGAGGCCGTGCTGCAGGGAGAGCCCGCGGGATCCCCTCGCCGCGATTGAAGGGGCCCCGGGACACACAGATAAATACACACAAATAACAGGATTCCCCATCTTTTCGTATACTTTCTGAGTTTTTGTCTCCCCCCCACTTCCCACATTTTCCCATATTTTCCTGGGAGTGCACGATGAATTGTGTCTGTGTGTTTTTCCCCTCCTGAGCGATGCAGTTCCGGCTCTCATCAAAAAGGACATCCTCGCCCGTGGCCTCTTCCCGGGTCTCGTGGGCGCTTTTTCCAGGCCGCGGAGGTTCGACCAGAGCAGGAGGTCGAAGATCATCGTGAGGATCGTCGTGACGGTCATCATGGAGCTCGGGGCGAACGTCCTGTCGGCGGCACCCTCGCTACTGTCGAGGGCGTGAGGCGCGCTGCTGCTCATGGGGATCCTCCTCGCTGACGACCGCTCCCTGGGTCTCGTGGGCGCCTCTTCCAAACCGCGGAGACTCGACCAGTGCGGGAGGTCGAAGATCATCGGCATGATCGTCGTGAAGCTTGGGGCGGACTTCGTGTTGGCGGCGCCATGGTTCCTAGCGAGTATTTGGGGGGCGGAAAGATACGGATACGTGTTGTCCCCGGACCTCTCTTGGGGTGCGTTCTGACCAGAATTTCGAGGCGAATCCAGCGGTGACAACGAGGATTCCCCAGGAGGACCAGGAAAGGCCGAAAACGAAGGAGGACAACACGTATCCGTATCTTTTTCCCCCCCGAAGTATGAGGGCGCGGAGGCCCACGTCGAGCCGCACGTGGGCATCAGCGGCGACGTCTCCGTGGACCTACCTATCCGTGGGGCTGCCGCGCGTGCGGCAGACGGCGGTCGCCAGCCTTCCGTCTCCAAATTGGGCCTCGAGCAGCTCCTTCAGTTGCAGCGGCAGTCTCGTGAAGACGTGTCCATGCTGACTACCTACCAGACCACCCCAACCCAACCCGAAGACCCGAATTTCGGGTTGGGGGGGGTAAGGGTTCCATACGTGTTTTTTCGATGTTTCCCGAACCCCCCCCACTGGAAATCGAGGGTACATCTGAGCCTTCGGGTTGGGTTGGGGTGGTTTGGTAGGTGGTGACATGCTGAAGCGACTCTCACTGGTCCTGATGATAGGGCAGGTCGTGCTCTCGACACCGACGACGACGAAATGGCTGCCACCGAGCGGTCGTCCTCGATCGTCGCTCACGGGCTGGACTCCGCCGCCAACGACACGGCGCCTCCTGACCTCGCCGTCTATGGGCGCGATGTGGACGAGGTCCCACCCTTCGACTTTCTCGGCTTCGCGGCGGCGTGGGAGTTGGCCGCGAGCGAGCTCGTTGGGCTCATCCCGCACACCGAGGTGGACAGGACGGCGCCGGCCAGCGCTGTGGGCAGGCGGATGGGCGCAGTGCGAGGCCGCTTCCTGGCAAGCTGAGCCGGCAGGGCAGTGAAGGCGACGCTCCCTGGCCAGTTCAGGCAGAAGTAAGGAACCGCACTCCATACACCGACGCGTGTTCTGGGCCTGCCCTGAAACTTGCAAACAATAAAGCGGATCCTGGTGCATACGGGATCCTGGGGTGTACATGTTTCGCTGTTCCCGACGTCGTCCTCGACCCTCAAAAAATCCTGGGATTGAAAAACAGCCCTTCACTGGTAATGTATAGGTTCCAATATCCAAGGAAGGGCTATTTTTCGGCCATGCGCGCACCATGTGTGCGGCTTTCTCGTGTGCAGGGTGGAGGTTGTCGCCTGTTCGGGCAGCTTGCTGCCTGGACGCCCCCTTTTCTCGGCGTGCACTGTGAGTCCCTGGTGGCCTCTTCTGCGCCACTGCTCGCCCGGATCACATCGACGTGGGCTGTGGGCTTTGACGACAGTTAAGCTGCCTGACGTGGGCTCGCCGAGCTTGCTTGCATTCTCGGCATCACTGTCCCACTCGGCCGCGGCAGTGCGACAGCTAGCTGCAAATCTTAAGACAGTGTGGCTCACCAAGGCCCTGGTAATCGTCATTGTCGTCGTCATCCGCATCCTCATCCTCATCCTCATCCGCATCCTCATCCTCATCATCATCATCGTCAGCAGCAGCATCATCACCATCATCAGCATCAAATTAGCAGTATCATAATCATAATAAGTATCATCATCACCATCACTATCAACAGCATCACCAAAATCATCATCCGCATCACCCTCATTCATCATCAACAGCTTCATCATCAGCAGCACCACCGTCATCAGGAGCATCATCATTGCCATCAGTATCAGCATCATCATCATCATCATCATCATCATCATCATCATCATCATTATTACCCTCACCATCAGCAGCATCAATAGTACCACAATTGCAATCAGCAACTACAACCTCAACAACAACATCATCATTATCATCATGAGCATGGGCATAATCATCAGCAACCTGAGCAGACTCAGCATCATCATCAGCATCATCATCACCATCATCAGCATCAGCATCATCATCATACTCAGCATCATCAGCATCCGCATCAGCATTACCAATTTCTTCATTAGAATCATCATCATAATCATCAGCATCATCACCATCAAAATCATGATAATGATCATCATCAGCAGCAGTGCCACCATCATCATCGTCAAACTCATCGGTACCAATAGCATCACCATCAGCACCATAAGTATCATCGTTATCATCATCATCACCATCATCATCACCAAAATCGATTAATCAGCATCCGCATCGTTTATCATCACCGTCGCCAGTAGCATCAGCATCAGCATCAGCATCATCATCATCAGCAGCATCACCATCATCATCAGCAGAATCGGATCATCATCGTCGTCATCATCATCAGGATCATCGTCAGCGCCGTCGTCATCGACATCGACATCATCGTCGTCCTCCTTTTTCATCACCATCATCAGCATCGTCGTAGTCATCATCGTTGCCATCATTATCAGCATCACCACAATCATCATCAGCACAACCATGAATACTCATCATCGACCGCATCATCAGCAGCAGCACCATCGTCAGCAGAAGCAGCATCACTATCATTACCAACCTCACCATTATCAGCATCAACCTTACCACCACTGCCATCAGCAACATCATCATGGTCATCAACATCAGCATCATCAGCATGGTCATCAGCATCATCACAATCAACAACAACAACATCATCAGCAGCATCAGCATCGTCATGATCATCATCATCATCATCGTCATCGTGGTCGTCGCCGTCGTCATCGTCATCAACATCCTCATCAGCATAAGCAGCATCAACATCAACAGCATCTGCACTACCATCAGGACCATGAGAATCATCATTATCAGCATGGTGACTTCTACCTCCATCATCATCATCATCATCATCATCATCATCATCATGACCAGTAGCAACATCACCATAATCAGCATCAGCATCAGCATCATCAGCAGGAATAGCATCTCCACAGTGATTTCAAACAGCACCAATCATCAGCATCCTCATCTTCGTTGTCAGCATTATCAGCATCATCAGCATCATAATCAGCATCAGCAACATCAGTACCATCAGCCTCGTCATCATCATCGTCATCATCGGAATATGTGTCGTCGTCCTCATCATTATCGCCATCAGCAGCATCGTAGTCGACTTCGTCGTCGTCCATCTCCCTTTCCCCAGCATCATCATGAGCATCGTCGTGATCACCATCAGCCGGATCATAACCGTCGCCACCACAATCATCATCAGCATAGTCCATACTCGTCATGGTCAGCATGGTCATCATCATCATCAACGCCATCACCATCAGGAGCATCAGAATTGCCACACTCAAAATCATCATCACCCTCGCCATCATCAGCATCAACAGCACCATATCTGCGATCATCAGCGGCATCATCATGAGCATCATCATCGTCACCATCAAGAACAGCATCACCACCACCAGCACTGGCATCATCATCAGCAGCATCATCATCGTCATCATCATCAGTATCATCACCCTCATCATCATCACCATCATCATCGGCATCATCATCATCGTCGTCATCATCATCAGCAGCACCATCAGTATCATGATCATTACCACCGCAAGTAAATTCGACAGAATCATGATGATGATCATCATCGTCGACTTCATCCATCATCATGTTCATAAGCATTCAAATTCTCACCATCATCGTCATCATCAGCATCGTCACCATCATCATCATCATCATCATCATCAGCAGCATCATCAGCATCATCCTCAGCATCATCAGAATCGGCATCATCGGCATGCATCATCATCGTCAGCGACGCCATCACCATCATCATCATCAGCATCAGCATCACCATCAGCAAGAACATGATCATCATTAGAATAAGAATCATGATCAACATCCTCATCATCATCATCATCATCATCATCATCATCATCATCATCTCCATCATCATAACCGGGATCAGCATCATAATCATGATGAGCATCGTCATCATCATCATCATCAGCACCATCATCAGTTTCATCATCATCATCAGCATCATCGTAATCATCATCAGCATCATCATCGCAATCAGCATCATCAGCATCAACATCATCAGCAGCATGATAAACATCACCTTCGGTATCAGCATCACAAGCATCATCATCGTCAGCAGCAGCAGCATCCCCACAATGATTACAATCATCGTCAGCGTAATCACCAACATCATCACCGTCATCAGCATCGTCGTCAGCACTGTCATCAACTTCAGCAACAGCATCAGTATCATCATCATCATCATTATCATCATCAGCAGCAGCAGCGCCATCATCATCATCATTGATGTCTTCGTCGTCGTCGACGCCCTCCTCCTCATCATCATCATCATCATCATCATGATCATCATCATCATCATCATCATCATCATCGTCATCGTCATCGTCATCGTCATCGTCATCAGCAGCATCATCATCGTCATCGTCATCTTCATCGTTATCATCATCCTCATCATTGATCATCACCTTCATCACCATCATCATCATCATCATCATCATCATCATCATCATCATCATCATCATCATCATCATCATCATCATCGCCATCGTCATGGTCATGGTCATCGTCATCGTCATCGTCAGTCATCGTCATCATCCTCACCCCCCCCCTCCCCATTCCCCTCTCCTCCCCTCGCCCTCCCCTCCCGTGCACTTCCCTCCGCGGCTCACCCCATCCCAAGCGGTCATTGCCACCGAGCCCATTTGTGCGCCCAAGCCCCAGAATTGCTGAGGGCAGCGCTTTCCTTCTAGGCCAGTCTTCATCCTCGGCCTGGAGGGGCGGGCAGAAGACGAGCAGGCATGCAAACCCTAAGGGACGACGCGATAGCATGACCTGCCACTTGACGATAGATGCACTTCAACGAGTGGTCGCATCCACACAGGGCGACATGAATGTGCGGACGAGCGAGCCTAGGGGCTACGGTGAAGAAAACAGATGAACCAGGCGCGACCCAAATTAGAGGAAAACTTCCTGAGTGAGTAAAGAAGCAAGTGGCGCTGATTGGCATTGGTTTTGTATTTCCTGCCATCGCTTGGCATCGTTTCGCATTTCTTTGCAATGCTTGGCGCTGCTGTGCATTGCTTGGCAACCTGAGGAAAACCACGTCAAAAATAACAAAGAAACAATTCCAAAAACCCTGGAGAATCCGAGAAACCTTGGCAACGCCGGCCGTGAAAAAAATCAGGAAACAAGACAGGGAACTCTGGGGAATCCCCTTGCAAGAAAACAAAGGCAGGGAACCCCAGAGAGCCCAGGCGCGACCGCGCGCCGTACCCTCTGGTTTTCACCAACAAATAAAAACCCGTCTTGGGCGAAACCTTATGAGGCAACAAGATGCATGACCAACCACAACGGATGAAACGCATACTTCAGCCCGTTGACCCCTTGCAAACGTGCATGTCGACCAGTCCCCGCAAGGCTACTGCCCGCCATTCCCCTCCCGTTTTCTGGGCCGCTCATCCGCAACTCAAAGCCTAAAACGAAGTATGTCCGTTGGTTCCGATACGCCCCACCAGAGGCAGACACTGACTACGCACCATGAAAGCAAGACCGCTCTCACCATCCAGTAAACGGTTTCGCACCGCCAACTAGGACGTGTACGGAGATCGTTTGTTATTTTTCGGCGATAATTCTGGTTATCCGGGCGAGAAGGTGCTGGCCGATAACTAATATGTTCGCTTTGGGCAGCCCCACGTACGCCCACGCGCACCAGTACTGCGTCATTCTACTGCTGATAAGGATGCTGCGACGGTGCTACTAGTGGTGCTGCGACGATGCTGGCGCCGTCTGGGAATACCTAAAAAATAGAGGTGGGCAGCTAGCATAGCATCAAAATTAAAGATATGATAGGAATACCCCATCGCAGCGTGTGGGAGTGCTTTAAGTAGCCACGAACACCGGCGTGCTTATGAACATTGGCATGCCTCTGCAAGCACCACCGCGCCATTGAACACCTCGCTCCCTGTGAGCTTCCTGCACCCCCCCCCCCTTTCGGACTAGCGCAACCGACAAGGTCAGGTTATCTGGGGAGGGGGGCGGGCCCGATAACTGGAGCATCGCCGAACCCTAAAAAGGCAGTCCAACGATTTCTCTTGCCATCGCTCGGACATCCACCATTCCCCGTGCACGTTTCGGCTTCATGCGTATACTGTTTCGCGAGATGATCCAGGATGCTCCCCGATGGAACTCGCCAGTGGAAATGCACACGTTCGAGCGATGCCAAATTCTGCGACGTGATACGTCTCCGCTGAGTAAACACCAGCCAGCACCTCCAGGCTGCGGATGACCAGGAGTTGTGCCCCAAGCTCTCGACACGCATTCCTGACAGTCCGTTGCCCCTCCCCCTTGTCAGCGCTGTTCTTTTAGCTCGGACCGCGCGGCAGTCCAACTGCGGGTGCAGCCCCAGGGCCCTAGGACTAGGGCCAAAACAGCGGCGGGCAGCGTGCATGCCACAAACATGAAAAGCACGCACATCATGCGTACACGGTGGCACGGGCGGCAGAGGGGCAGGGGAGTGCACTCTTCACTCTTCACACTGGGTGAGTACAATGCTGCCCCGATGCCGCCCCCTACAAGCGGAAACGCTGCACGCAGTCATCGCCTATACCGGCCCACAGGCCGATACACCTCAAGCAAAGTGCGGCCTGAGGCTCAAAATATAAAATATAAAATATGAATGTCTAGACTCACTTGTCCAGACTGTCATCTCAATGTATGTGCACACATCACCGTGGCCCTCACTAGGTCCATGCAGCGGCTGCAATCAGGACCTCACGGGCTCGCAAACCCTGGAACGGCGGCCCGACGCTGGGCCTTCCGCTCCTTGGCTCTCTCACGCTGTCCGCGGCGCAGCCGCAGACGGTGTGCCTCCTCATCCTCTTGTTCAGCAGTAGGCACCATGCTGAACAGTCCGTGGCGGAGGAACTGCGATAGCACCTCGTTAGGCTGCACGGCCTTTGTCAGCACGTCCGCCAGCATGTGGCTATTGGGCAGCCACTTGAACTTGATGGCCTCCTGCTCGATCAAATCCTTGGCCACCAACAAGTCGATGAGGGTCTGCCGAGACACCGGCATCGAGCCGATCTTGGACGCGTGGTCGTAGAGCGACTTCGCGCCCGTCACCAGCGCCCCCAGAACCTTCAGCGCCAGCCTCCAGTCCCCTTGCAAGGGCGGCTCCCCGTGCAAGACTGCCTCAATCAGCAGCCTGAGGTAAAGCTGCCGATCCAAAGCCACGGACATAGCCGCAGACTCTGCGGCCATCGTAGATCCAACAACTCGTGTAATAGTACTGCTCTGGAACTCCACTAGACAACATACAGCTAGCTCCTTCAACACTCGGGTATCCGCAATCATACTCATGAACCCCATCTGGCTCTCACAGCCGGGTTCCTTCGCAAATCAAGCGCCCATAAGCGTGAGCACCTGCAAGCGCTCGATGTCCACGCGGCGGATCCGGAGAGTCGCAAGACCTCTCTTGTCGTAGTCCTGAAGCCAGTCGATGATGTCATTGAGCACTCGCAGGTGCAGTAACCTCCGACCTTTCGGATCCTTCTGTGCGAGCGCCGACACACTGTACGCGAGTTGTGGCACCACACGTGCGACAGGCCATCGCACCTTCTGGAGCAAGCTCCGGAAGTCGCGGTGCTCTTCGGGAGTCATCTCCCGCTCCTCGTCGCCACCCCTCGCAAGGGGGTGCTTTGTCAGCTTGCCGATGTATTCGTGCATTCTGATCTCGATGTGATCGGGGTGGCGCCACCACTCCTCACCGAGATAGGCGACTGCCTCCTTGTCGTTGCCCTCCTTCCAGTGCTTGATGTTGAAACGCCCGTTGATATTCGCCTTCACCTCCTGGTACTGGGGGTCGCGCGGGTCCCCAAACAGCATGCCGTCGTCGACGTGCAAGGTCAACATAGCAATCAACTTGCCGCTCGCCCGATAAACGAAGACAGCTCGAGAACAGCGCAGCTCCACAAAGCCGACCTCGTCCGTCAGCACCTGGCGGGCCCGGAGATACCACAACCGAGGCGCCCCCGTCAAAACGCACGCCCCTTTCAGCAGACAAAGCAACGCATAAGGCCGCACAGCTGGCCATCCAGCACCGTCGACGGCTGGAAGCCCGTCCTTAGGAGCCCTCACATACAGCTCCCGCTCCAGCTTCAGCCCGGACAGGAACGCAGTCGCTACGTCGAAGCACTCGAATGTCCAATCCATCGCCATTGTGATAGACGCACACACCAGCACGGCCAAAGGGGAAGTAGTAGGCGACTCCGTCCTGAATAGACCAAGCTGCGGGTCGAGATGGCCAGGGATGATCAAGCGCGACTTCGCCTCCAACTCCAGCCCTCGCCCCCGGTTCGTGCGAACCGAACGCATGGGCACCGAGATGATCTTATCCTCTGGAATGCTCTTTTCCTCCTCCTCGGTGACCAGCTCGACCGTGTTGTTGGCGATCCATTGCCGCCACTCGGCGGCATCGGCCTCGTCGAACTTAGCCTTCTCGTGCTGGTCGAAGTGACGTGGGTCTAGCTCCTTCGCGTTCTGCTTCATCACGAGTGCGAACACGTCGTGCTCGCACCGCGCCTCCTGCAGCCATGCGTCATACACAGATGACACGTTGATCCACTCCTCGTAAGTCATCGGCTGCCGTACAAGACCCTCCGGAGTGTCCAAATAGTACACCCCCTGTGCCTGAGCGTCCGGCTTGTCGTGGTAGAAGAGCGTGAGACCAACCCAGCTGTCCTCCGTGCGCTCGTTGGTACGGCTCGCGCCGTCGTCCTTGTAGGCACACTGGCCCGTGGCGGAGAGCATCGCCGACAGGCGATTGCACTCCCGGTGGCGGTCGTGATCATAGAGTCTCCGCCGTGGCTCTCGATGCACACGTACTCCTCGTACGACCTTCTGAACGAGCGTGGAGACACCATCCAAGGCATTCTGGTCGAACCACTCCTGGGGTCCCGAGTGCGCAACAGCGTTCATGGCCACCTCGCGGAGAGCCGGCAAGCCACTCGTAGGGGCAGCCTGCAGACGCGATCTCTTAATGCAACTCGGCACGTCATCTACCAGGAACTTCCGCTTCCGCTCGAGCTCGAAATCGTCTCTGGGAATCGGCGGCACCGAAGGACCGCCAGAGCCCGATGCTCCCGGAGAAACTTCCGGGTACGTCCCAGAGGACATCTGGCCTGGAAGGGGAACGAGACCGCGCCCTCCTCGGAGGCGGAAGCTGCGGCAACTGCTCCTGCTCAGGTGGCTCCTCCTCCTTAGCCTGTGCCTCAATGGCGCCCAGGGCCCTCAGATCCACACGAGGCTGCCTGGACCCCTCGAGCTCACTATGTCGGTCACGCTCCTTCTTCAGGAATGTCTTCTTCACCTTCTGAACCTTCACCTTGGGCGTGACGTCCACGATGTCGTGGTAGGCGCGATCATCTCGCTGCTGCGTCAGCCGCACGTCCGTCTGGATGGACTCCGCAGCCGCGGCCTCCTGGGAGGAGGCGCGCCGGAGCTGCCCACGAGCAACAAGTAGCACGTGACCACGCCATGATACGTAATACCGGCTGTTGGATTCCTTCGCGATCACAGTCGCAGGACCCCGCCATCTTTCAGGATCTTGCCGACGACGTCCCTTGAACGGATTCGGTGCCCAGAAATACACCCGCGATCCTGGGCACAGATCGCCGACGACCGTCGGCGCCTGTCGCAGCAGCGCCCTCCGCACCTTGTCCGTCGCGTCGCGCTCCAGCAACATCATCTTGGCTGCGGTGCGGATTTGAGAC